TCCCTTCTTCCCTCTCCTTTTGCCGCATCCCCCTCCAGCGCAGATATCTTCCGTCCAAGCCTGGCCTTTTCCCTTCTTCCCTCTCCCTTCTTTGCCACGTCCTGCTCCAGCGCAGACATTTTCCTTCATCCCCCCTCCCCTCCCGTCATGACCAATCCAATTCTACCGCTACCAAATGCCCTGTGTGTGTACCCCTGTTACTTGGCTTAATTTCCTGTCAAGCTTGCAGCATTTCCCCCATCCTGAACATGCCCTCCCCCCGCCGTAGACGCACCTGTAATTGCTGTCACTTGAAAGATTCTCATGGTTGGCATGTGCATGTGCAGTGTATGGTACGTATATGCATTATGGAGCCAAAACCTTGTCTAACAAAAAGTAGGCATCCTTCAATTGAACAGAGAGTAGAAGAACAATAAAAGTGATACTGCTAAAACACTGACAAATTATACAGGCCTGTCCTTGTGACACAAATAAACTCGCCCTTGTGATGTACACCGTACTCCTCAAAATACGTTCTGCATGATATTTTGCTCGCTGTGAAACCTGCAAATGAAATTCATGTAAAACAAGATGGTAAACATGGACAGACACTGAATGAACCATTTGTGCATGCACATGGTTAACGACGTTGGATTTTACAATAGGCTTTGTTCCAACAATCCCAGCTCTCACACTCTTTGAGAGAGTGTTGTGGGTACTACCGGGTACTTCCCATTGGTATCAGATGGAAAGTGGCTGGGCTGGGCAGGGCTTGACTGGGCTGGGCCTTCCTCACTCCTTCACTTTTTTGCAGAACCGCCAGGTTGACTTGGAAGGGAAAGGAAGGGTGGGACTGCAAATTAAAGACTGCTTTAGAAGCACATGCACTAAAAGGTACAGTCCCACATTTGCCGCTGCCCATAAAGTAACTGAAGAAATTATTGTTGGAAAGCATACACTGTACTCGGTTAAAGTTGGTTTATGGATGGGTATGGGACTATGCTCCCCGTGGAATCGTTCTTTCAGGCAAGCTGTTGTTTTGAAGAAAGCTGTGAAAGGAGGCCATTTCCAATGCCGTGTCTAAAAATGCATTTTTGGAAATTGCCCTTAATAGTTAATTTGTAATTCAGCGAAGCAAGCGTAAGTGTTGACACAGTGCTGTCAGTTGCTATGCATGTAATTCTCAGGTTCAGAGCACAACAGTGCATACATGTGCATGTACGGTAGCTGCAGTCAGTTGGATGGGAGCATGTCCTGGACACTGAATATGGGCGCACTTCAGAACATGACTCTTCAACGTCTGATTTGAAATCAAGATCCTAGAAGAATCGTTTTTCTCTGAATATACAGCATTCACTGAATGCCAACTTCATAATCTTACAAGCAGTTTTAAAGCGCATTCCACTTCTTCAGATTCTGAGCACATATGTTGCCTCAAATGAACATAATGACAAATGACGACGGACTGTGCCTTCTAATCACTTGTACTGTACATGTACATGTGTACATGTCTCTTTCAGCAGCAGAACTAAAAGTGACTTCCCATCAACCTCCCACAGCCCACATGGTTTTGCTGTATTGAAAGTGTGCAGATCCTGATACCATTCATGTGTAAAACGCATGTGATATTGATTTCAAATAGCATCGGATAAGCACATTAATATTTCTGGATATGACGCCCTGGATCCCTTGACGTGATGTATGGGGACATGACAAACAACCTGCTTATATTCTTGATAAAAGAGTGTTTTGTCAACAACGCTGCCTCGCATGAAAAAGTCATTTCCATGTTAAAAATTCATTGTGTGATTTTAGATACAGAGTTTGCATATCATCCACACTTCCAAAGACCATCCTCAGCTGGCGTGTAGAGCACTCTTATCATGTTTTTTTGGGGGGGGGCTTAAAGATTTTAAGACCAATGTGTCAGTAGATCTTTATATATAAATTAAACAGAAGATTGATAGGATTCAGAAATTTCAAAATAACCTGGCATTTTGAAGAAAGCAGGAAAAAGGGATCAATTTCCATTTCAATCCCTTATCTAAGGGATCACAGGAGATTGTGGGAAAAAGGTCAACCTCTGTTTGACGCACATGTTCCACAAAATGCATCCACATACTTGTACTTGTACATGTACAGTGAATTGCATATCTGCTTGTACAATATGAAAAATGTATTTTCAAGTTTTATTCCCTAGGAGGAGGGTCCAAAAAGCAGAGTTGTAGATCTTCAGTCTCAAGTCAGTCCACAAGTCATTTCACAAGTCATTTCACAAGTCAGTGGGATCGAACTAAAGAGATGAGTAATAACAAAGGAATGCTTTAGTCAGAGTTCACTTATGTTTTGACTTGTGGCTGAATGACTTGTGACTGACTTTTTGTGGTGACTTGCAGTGACTTGTGACTGACTCAATTACAACTCTGCCAAAAAGAATTGTGTACACTCATGAATACGATGAAAGGAATCTGTAGGGAAAATCTATCAATTTAAAGAATTTTTCACTGAATCCGAACTCATTTGATTGTCAGTTCGACGAGTGTTCAAGGGAATCAACTTTTGCTTTATTTCTTTCCTTTAATTTTGTGCAGGCCCCGGATCTTCCCCCAGCCCCAGGACGAATTCAAGAATGTAAGTCAAACCATTTTTCCCTTTTCCGTGGAGCCACTCAGTCAGGAGTCTCAAAATCAATCCTACTCATTGCAACAGCCGTATGTCCAATTACATGCAAATACACAAAGCATTGATAAAACTTCCACTCAACAGTAGTATGCCAAGAGATCCCACATTTCAAACCAAAGATCTTTACATTGCATCAGCTCATAAATGTTGATTGTCCAAGACGTTGTAGATCATGATCCAACTCCAGGGGTGAGATTTCTCAGCTTTGTAGCTGATTTCAGCTATTTTTGTTTGGGATTTCAGCTTTTTTTCCTCATTGGCTGTGTACAAAAGTATAGGAGATTTTCACAGAACAGCTTTCTGTGCCTTTCTTCAACTGTTTTCAGCTATTTTTATCATTGGTCAATCTCATTCCTGCAACTCCTAGTAGATAAGAAAGTGCAAACAGAGGGATATGTTGTCAAAATGCATGGTCTTGCATATACATTCAAATTTGTGTACAGTATGGATGTGTTGACACATTCCCATGGGCCCAAGCGTGAATATGTGTACCTCCCACAGCAAGTTGTTAGCAGTTAAATGACATCATTTCACCAACTGGGGAAATCCTCATTGAATGTATAGGATGTTGCAAGATCTTCCATTTTTAATAATAATTTTGAACACAAAATGTGCCCGTCTGACCAATTCCTCAATGTTCTTGGCAGATTCCAGACATACCTGTCACGTTTACACATTGTACTGTACCTTGCAAACAAAGATGACTCATCACTACCATTTGTAAGATCTGAGTCGGGACATGATTAGAATCATCTTGCCAGACACATTCATCTGTTTAAATCTTTTGATGTGATTAAAATTTGCATTGTGGGAGTCTACCTCTTGTGATCTTTGGGTTTAAGGTCAGGTCGAGAGTTCAGAGTTCAAGACTATATATATTTGGTTAGAAATTCATATGTACCGGTGTTTGTACATGTATGTACATGTAGATTTTATTCATGAGCACTTATTGAAGCAAGGTACTTGTATTTTACGATTTGTGCACGAAAATTGCTCATTAAATGCTTGCCTATGGAGCTCAGTGCAAGCTGTGATGAAGAACATGGCAGTTTACCCAGCAAAGCCAAATGATAAAACTGGAAACCAGACCTCATCTGAGGACAGGCAAAGCCCTCCCATCATTTTGCATTTCATCAGTTGCCAAGCAACCGATGGTTCTCCCTACCTTGTACTCCATTGACCAGACTTTTTTAAAAGTACATGTAGATCAAGTGACACAATTATCATTACAAAAGTTATGTACATAGTTTAAAGACGACTTTATTCATTAGACAGACCCAACCTTCTACCTGTGCCCTGATTTGAAACAGCAGTAGTGAATAATGATTTTGTATTGTGGACTTTGTGTTATTAAATTATTAATTCACATTCACTCTGAATTTTTACACCCCCTCTGGTTCATACAAACCAATTGCTGTTCATTTTTCCAGTTTGTTCATATTCAGTTTAAGCATGGTACTGCAAATAAGCTGGCTAAGGTTTTTAACTCTTAAAAAAATTGTGTTTACAGTTCTCAACGCGATGCAGTTTTGACCATGTTTGTTAAACCAGACTCTGTGTACCTAAGTGAAAACTGTTTTTAACAGACTGCCAGGCACCAGACCATTCCTAATTGACATGATTTTTGGACATTGAAATCACCCTTTACCGGGACTGGAGAGCAGACTTGGGGTTCACTGTTCAATAACACGGGAACAAAGTTGATAAAGTTAATTTCCAAAGATAGGTCAAGAGACACCCTTTTGACATCCTTCCATTCTGATTTGTTACTGGGAAAATCCTTGAATTTATGCAACAAATTTGTGGCAGTATGTATACATGTGTGTAAAAGTACTGAATAAGTTTGCAATAATGCATGTACGTAACTAGGCTGAATGAGAGTCCAAATGCTGATCTTCTATCAATTTGGCGATACGAGGGCTCATTTGCAAACACGACACAGGAACTTCTGTAAGCGAGTCACAAGACCCGAAGACATCGCCCTTTTTCTCAAAATATTACCTGTCTTCAAACCTGTCTTCAGATTTAAAGCAGTTTTGTTGCTTCAAACAAAAAATGCACAAAAGATGAATACACGTAGTCCACTCTGCCTTCAAGAGGTGCAACATCGTTCCTGTGTGTATGCATGTACGCGTACATGTACAGGTAAAATCTGTCAATTCTGTTTGCCTGTATCCGAGGTCATGAGGACAACACGCCAGCTGTTGTCTGACTCCACCACGGACAGAGGCAGCCATCAGAATAGCAAATGAGGGCACTTAGAGGGCATTGATGAGTTCACCAGCATCAAGCCGGGCATATGGCCTCAGTGAACATCCAGCAAACCAGCCCCAGCCAGGTTTAATACAAAATACAAGCCGCAACCTACAGGGTGCTCGCTGTCTTCTAATAAAGAACTCAACGCGAGCGACTGCAGATGGTACGGAAGAGCTCACATTCTATTCATTAGTATTCTTGGTTCCTCATTAGAAGGTCCGTGGACATGTACAGTGTACATGCATACTCGAATACGAGCCATTTGTTGCTGATATTAGAAGTGGTCATGTGTTCAAAGCCTAAAACACAGTTCCATATGGTATAACTTGATATGAAAGATATTGGGACATAATCAGCTACATGTATATACATGTACATGTATCACCCAAATACTGCCTATCAAGCCAACATGCAAAGCCCATCAGTGACTGAACGTACTACATGTACACTTTCCAGAAAATGTCTAATGGCTGACTGTACAAATGTAATTTTTGCCCTCAGGTCAGTCCTCCGAAGACTGCCTTCTGTTTATCACAATCAATTATGTCGAGATACACCCGCACCGTGTACATCTTACGGGAGAGACAAGTTACTTCAGCTTTAGACACATAATCATATGCTTTGACTGAAATCAGATATCACACCAAAGTCTTCCTTTGCTGGCAGGTTGTGTCAAAATTTGTCAGCGATTGATGTGTAGGTGCAGCTACACAGTTACCTGTGATTGCATACACAGCCATTTCTACCTGATACACAGCTCACCAAGTGAAAATCCTAGATGTATCAGCAGGCTCTAAGAAGCCTTTTCAAAATAATCTGCTGGGCGGACGATTGAACAAAATGCCCACTTTGCACGACAGACCCTAGGAGCCACGATGCTGCAGATTAGAGGAGCGAACACAAGAAATTGGAAAAGCGTTTATCGAAGCAGATTAAAATCTAACTCTCCGGAGCAATGACTTCTGGAAAGGACGGCACGAAGATCACACAGCCGCTCGGCGTTGGGAGGACAAGCGGTAGCATTAGGGTGCAAACACGATTTGTGGTGAACATCGATCGCGCCTGGCGCCCGCATCCCACGGGAAATACCCTCCGGGAATCATCACGAACGGGGTCTCAAACCCACGCTCATTATCCCTTTGTATGTTACGTCTAGATTCAGAAGGCATTAAACAGCCGATTATTCCCCTCCCCCCTCCTGTGAAATACCTAATTCATCCCTCATAGTTGCTGGGCAAGAATCTCTAGTGGAAGATTGTGGACTTGGGAAGGGGGTCGGTTGTCCAGGCAGTTGATCCTTGCATTTTGCCTTCTGGGCAGAAAGGTTTTTACCCGTCACCTTGATTGAATTGGTGGAAGTATTCGGAAAACTAGAATCTTCCCTGGGGTTGTATGGTAAAAACATCATCCAGTGCAAACATGACTGAAATCGTGGGTTGGGATCTGTGCACGGAATGCTTAAGCATCACGGATTACGTGTATTTGGTTTGCATATTTTATTTTGCTTCATTTACTTTTTTCCCAGCTTCAGAAATTTGTCGGCTTCGCTTATTTGGGAGCAAAATTTGACATACATCTACCAGTAGTTCGTGTACGTTCATGTACACTGTACACCAAAGGCTTGTTCACTCTCTGTACCAGAGCAAACTAACTTATGTACATGTGACATCACAATAAATACGTTTCATACTGCACGTTTGCAAAAATGATCACTTTTTCAACCCTGGCAAATTTTAGAGTAGACGTTTGTGTCGTCAGATTCGCCTGGCCTATTTGCATGAAGCAGAAATCAGCCTTAACAGTCTGCACTTCCATGCCCAGACAGACGGTTTAAGATTTCAGCAAGGTGTCACTTCCAGTTTCCATCATTTTTGATGAGGACTTTTCCCCTCATGTCCGTAAGCAAAGTTAACAAGGTTGTCAACTGCTTTTTGGGTCAGGTATTCCATCTCATCTTGCTGCCCTCGAAGATCTCCCGAGTGGATCCACACAGCCATGCATGAGGTGTCATAGTACCAAGATGCAGGTGTTGGACATGTATGACGAGGCCCCAGGACTGTTTCATGGAAATAGTGCTCAGGTTACCCTGATATGAGAGCTGCACGCTGTTGCGTTAGCCGTCCCATGGCAGAATTATGTCCCAAATCTACCTCCCTAAGTTCCTGCAATCCGGTCATGGGGGGCAGCTTCATGCCTGAATTTGTTTGTGAAAACGGATCAGCTAGCAAGCAGCGTCTGGTGGCAGGGCATAATCAGATACCCGAGACGTAAAGGCTGCAGTCCTTGAAAGAGCCATGCCTTAATATGTGACACAATGAAACCACTTTTCCCGGGGATTTCTCCTCATCCACTCATGCACAAGCTCAGAATTTTTTCTCCAGTTTTGGCAAAGCTTTCATAATGTAAAAGAGTAATCCCACTGCCTCCAAATTCCTCAAGGACACAAGTAAACTGACTTCACTGAATAACACAGCCACGCATGAAATTTTCACTGAAAAATACCCAAGACAACCCCATGGATCAAAGTTAACTTTTCAACCACGTGCTATCACAGTAAAGTTGCAGAACATTGACTGACCCATGGTAAATCACACACAAAATGCTTAGATAAAGACTATTGTGTAAGAAGTGTTACAACCATAATGACAGAAGTGTATAAACCCAGAACCACCTTTAAAAGCCAGAAAGCAAAA